TGACTTTAAAGGCTTGGTTGTTGAAGCCCTGGTCCAGAGAGACAGAGGCCTTTCGGAGCCTATCAACCCTACCCTCTTGAAGGCCAGAAAGCTGACTTCTCCTAAAGTCAACCACTTGGAAGTACTACTTGCTTGGTTGTCCCTGTTGGATGTATTCTGTCCTTCCTCCAGTCTGGTCTGGACCAACATTTGAATCTCGACCTTAGCCATTCTATTTCAGAGACCTCTGATCCTTATCACACCAATGTTCGCCCTGGAATATGTGATATTCAGACATGCTCAAGTTCCTGGCAGACATTCCAAGGGTCAGTGTTCCATCCTGCTTTTCAGTCCGCTGACTTTAAAGGCTTGGTTGTTGAAGCCCTGGTCCAGAGAGACAGAGGCCTTTCGGAGCCTATCAACCCTACCTTCTTGAAGGCCAGAAAGCTGACTTCTCCTAAAGTCAACCACTTGGAAGTACTTCTTGCTTGGTTGTCCCTGTGGGATGTATTCTGTCCTTCCTCCAGTCTGGTCTGGACCAACATTTGAATCTCGACCTTAGCCATTCTATTTCAGAGACCTCTGACCTCTAAAACTGGCCATATACTGATTAAAATTTGAGCGGTTAACGTGGAATATTGATCAGTGCGTGGTCCTCCCCAGACAGAAGTCATTTGATTGAGATCAGCTTCTATTAAAGGGACATGTTGGAAATGTTTTTCCTGATCAGCAGCTGGCACCTTGCAGCAGTCACTGATCACTGTATTTTGGCAGAAGCTGGTGCAACTTTCTGAATACAGTGACCAAGTGGGAAAGAGTCCTCCATTCACCTCATTTGTCTGGATAGAGGAATTTTTTAGTTTTTATTATGCCCTCTGGCTGAACAAAAAAAAAAAATAACTAACTGTGTGTGATGCCAGCTTTACTCTTTAATTAAGGTCTATGTTTAGGGAGTAGCTCACATCTCTTCCCCTGTTTATTTCCATGGGATCTCTCTTACACTTTAATCAGGATATTGTCCTTTCTTCCTTATTCTCTACTGTGAAACATCCTAGGGAAATTTCTCTGCACTGTTTGGATCTGGTCTATGCTGCAAGAGATTACCTCTCAGCTATTGCCACTTTTAGAAAACCAGATTACCTCTGTGCTTCCTGAAGGTTCTCACAAGGGTCTCTCTGCCTCTCACTGTACCCACACTGGTGGATCGGACACAAGTTATGTTTAGAGCCTATAGTCTGAAGGATAGGGTTCCTACCTTTCCTCTTATGGAACCTGCTAGCACTTCAAGGAATTTTTTCAGCATCCATCACATTTCTCAAATTTGAAAGTTGCCCACCTGGGCTTCTGATCACATATTTGTTGAGTTCTACTAGATGTATGTTTAGGCCTCCTCTGATGCCAGTTTCGGGCAGAAGGTGCTAAAAGCTGCTGTCTGTTTCCATTGAGTCTTTCTTTACCTATTGTTATGCGGTCATATTGGTGTTTCCTGGATTACAGTACAGGAACCTCACCTCTGTACTTATGATCCCCCTTTTGCTTGTGGTACAGTACAGGAACCTCACCTCTGTACTTATGATCTCCCTTTTGCTTATGGTACAGTACAGTGCACTCTATGACTCAGAGCAGGGGTGGATGGATGGAAAAGGAACTTGAGAAAATTCGACCACCAGTGCATGAAAGGTTGTGCAGCTCTAAACAAGGCTGGGGAAGCCTGACCAGTACTGCAAAGTGAAACAAAAAGAAAGGGCACCAACCTTGCGCATTACCTCAGTAAACTGTGATTTTATTAAATTGAAAATTATACTCACAAACAACGAAGTAAAACAAGCATATAGGTCCTCAATGGAACTTTAGGAGTGTAGAACCAGTGTGAATCACCTCACAAGGGCAGACTCTCAAAGTAAGGCTGATGTGTTTCGAAGGAGGTCCCTTCTTCATCAGAGCTAACTAAACAATGAGGACCCTCTACCATATATACTCTGGGACTGAAATGGGACCCTCCCACCTGGGCTGGGAAGTCTCCCGCCGGGAGGAGGGTCATAGGTGTCATCAAAACATGCCAACAATGGAAGTAAATAATGGAAGTAAATATCATGGATGTAAAAACAAACATTAAAACCATTAAGATCATTAACAATCGCAAAATAGCAAATAGAGTGTATATAATATATATATATATATATATATATATATATATATATATATATATATATATATAGTATGCCACGTTGGTATTGTTACTTTGGTATTGTTACTTGCAGCAAAGACAAGATAGTATTATTAATAAATAAGTAGCCATGAAAAATAAAATTAAGTAAAAATAAATAATACATGATAATAATACTGATTAAAAAGCTCCTGACATGGCTTTTCTTGACTGGCTTCTGCTGGTGAATGTGAATGGAACGCACGCCAATGGGTGCATGGCTGTGAAAGCGCATGCGCAGTGGGAATGCCGGCCCATCGGAGTCATCCTTGGAACGCACGTCCGACAGGCCACCGTGCTTGTGCGAGGTTGCGTTGCGCGCCTCAGCCGGTTCTCTGATCCCCTGCTGGAACGCACACTCACGCCGGACCGGAAGAGTGGCTGTGGGATGCACTCCAGCCACAGACTCCAGTCACAACACTAAGCGCCTCCAACAAAGGGGGTTGTATGCTTGACATCCACCCCACAAGGGAGTGTAGGTGAAAAGGGGGGTGGAGGAACACAGGAGATAAGCCACTGAGACTTTACAACAAGACCCAATTATGGCCCCTCTAAAAATACTGAAAGAGAAAAAAGCTATAGTTATCAGACAAGCGGATAAAGGAGGAGGTTTGGTTATCCAAGATAGAGACACCTATATCACTGAAGCAGTACGACTCCTTAATGACCTCCAGACTTGCAAAGTCTTGCCCATTGATCCCATAATTCAGTATCAACAAAAACTCAAACTACTATTAGAGTCAGCACTATCAGAACAAATACTCAACAAAGAAGAATTCCTTTTCCTATGCACTAAACATCCTGCCACTCTATTCTTTTATCATATTCCGAAGATTCACAAAAACAAGGAAAACCCCCCTGGCAGACAGATTATCTCAGGCATAGACAGCCTTACCAGCAACCTAGGCTGCTATAGCGACTACTTTTTGAAAGAGACGGTAACCAACCTCCCATCTTATGTAAAAGATTCCAATCATATACTGGAGATCCTGACAGGATATAGGTGAGAACAGGGCTTTAGATGGCTTTCCCTTGATGTAGTATCACTATATACTTCTATTAAACATGATCATGGCCTTCGAGCCATTCAGTATTTTTTAGCCAAGGACTCACCAAGCCAAGGATTACACACAAGCCCAATTTCTGTACAATTGCATTGAATTTGCCTTACAGCACAATCATTTTTAATTCTTGGACAAACATTATCGCCAGATACAGGGTGTCAGGGCTCCCGGGTATGACCAGAGGTGTGTGACTGACGCAGGGAAACGCAGACTTCAGATATGTTAGAAACAATATAATTTATTAACACCAACAATACAAACATAAACGCAGTGCAATACTAAAACATAACACAGTGCAAACAAACCAAACCAGCCACCCACAGATGACAGTACATACAATGCAAGCGTCGTCAGGCAGGCCGGGTCAATATCAATCGGGCAGGTAGGTACAGGGGGAGCAAGCGGAGAAGCCAGGTTCAGCAGGTAGCGGGCAGCGTGGTACAGAGGGTCAGGCAGAGGAGAATGGTCAGACAAGCCAGGGATCAGGAGCAGGAGAATGGTCAGACAAAGCCAGGGATCAGAGCAGGGTCAGCAACGAATCGAACAGGAACAGGAACAGGGAGCAGGAACAGGATACAGGGCCCAGGAGAAACACACACCAAGGCAGAGTCTGCAGGTCTGGCCATCCCTTAAATACACCAGTATAATCATTTCCAGGTGTTTGACTGGCTGCAAGGTTGAGTCTCTGATTGCTGGGAGCACCCGCTGGCCAGCCCTGGTACTGCAGCTCATAAGGCAGGTGAGTCCCACCATTGCTGGCCAGTCCATTCCTGACAGTACCCCCCCCCTCAAGGAGCGGCCTCAGGACGCTCCAAACAGTCCTAGCTGGGCAAAATGTTCCACCGCCCGGGTCTGGCAACTGGCGGGATATCAAAGACTGGCACACCGGGCAGGACTCCGGGCAGCGGCACACCGGGCAGGACTCCGGGCAGCCGCACACACCGGGCAGAGGCACACCGGGCAGCGGCACACCGGGCTGGACTCCGGGCAGAGGCACTCCGGGCAGAGGCACATCGGGCTGGACTCCGGGCAGAGGCACATCGGGCTGGACTCCGGGCAGAGGCACATCGGGCTGGACTCCGGGCAGAGGCACATCGGGCTGGACTCCGGGCAGAGGCACATCGGGCTGGACTCCGGGCAGAGGCACATCGGGCTGGACTCCGGGCAGAGGCACATCGGGCTGGACTCCGGGCAGAGGCACATCGGGCTGGACTCCGGGCAGAGGCACATCGGGCTGGACTCCGGGCAGAGGCACATCGGGCTGGACTCCAGGCGGAGCAGCGGGCACCGGGCCCCAGGCAGCAGCGGGCACCGGGCCCCCAGGCAGAGCAGCGGGCACCGGGCCCCCAGGCAGAGCAGCGGGCACCGGGCCCCCAGGCAGAGCAGCGGGCGCCGGGCCCCCAGGCAGAGCAGCGGGCGCCGGGCCCCCAGGCAGAGCAGCGGGCGCCGGGGCCCCCAGGAGAGGCAGAGGGCCCCCAGCAGCGGGCGCCGGGCCCCCAGGAGGGGCGACAGGGCATCGGGCCCCAAGGCGGAGCGGCGGGCGCCGGACGCCCAGGCGGAGCGACAGGTCTCGGGCCCCCAGGCGGAGCGGCAGGCATCGGGCCCCCAGGCGGAGCGGCGGGCGCCGGACCCCCAGGCGGAGCGACAGGCATCGAGCCCCCAGGCGGAGCGGCGGGCGCCGGACCCCCAGGCGGAGCGACAGGTCTCGGACCCCCAGGCGGAGCGACAGGTCTCGGGCCCCCAGGCGGAGCGGCAGGCCCCGAGTCACCAGGCACGACAGTGGGCTCCGAGTCAACTGGCATGACCGCTGGCACTGGGTCAGACATTGGATCGTCTGGCTGGACAGCGGGCATCGGGTCACCAGGCATCAGGTCATTTGGCTCGACAGCGGGCACCGCGTCATCTGGCAAGGCAGTGGGCTCCGAGTCAACTGGTATGACCGCGGGCACTGGGTCAGACATTGGATCGTCTGGCTGGACAGCGGGCATCGGGTCACCAGGCATCAGGTCATTTGGCTCGACAGCGGGCACCGCGTCATCTGGCAAGGCAGTGGGCTCCGAGTCAACTGGTATGACCGCGGGCACTGGGTCAGACATTGGATCGTCTGGCTGGACAGCGGGCATCGGGTCACCAGGCATCAGGTCATTTGGCTCAACAGCGGGCACCGCGTCATCTGGCAAGACAGTGGACACCAAGTCACCAGGCACGACAGTGGGCTCTGAGTCAATTGGCACGACAGCGGGCACGGGGTCATCAGGTACCGGATTGTCTGGCTCGACAGCGGGCATCGCGTCACCAGGTATGACAGCGGGCACTGGGTCACCAGGCATCAGGTCATTTGGCTTGCCAGTGGGCACCGCGTCATCTGGCAAGGCAGTGGGCACCGAGTCACCAGGTACGACAGCGGGCTCTGAGTCAATTGGCATGACCGCTGGCACTGGGTCAGACATTGGATCGTCTGGCTGGACAGCGGGCATCGGGTCACCAGGCATCAGGTCATTTGGCTCGACAGCGGGCACCGCGTCATCTGGCAAGGCAGTGGGCTCCGAGTCAACTGGTATGACCGCGGGCACTGGGTCAGACATTGGATCGTCTGGCTGGACAGCGGGCATCGAGTCACCAGGCATCAGGTCATTTGGCTCAACAGCGGGAACCGCGTCATCTGGCAAGACAGTGGGCACCAAGTCACCAGGCACGACAGTGGGCTCTGAGTCAATTGGCACGACAGCGGGCACGGGGTCATCAGGTACCGGATTGTCTGGCTCGACAGCGGGCATCGGGTCACCAGGTATGACAGCGGGCACTGGGTCACCAGGCATCAGGTCATTTGGCTTGCCAGCGGGCACCGCGTCATCTGGCAAGGCAGTGGGCACCGAGTCACCAGGCACGACAGCGGGCTCTGAGTCAATTGGCACGACAGCGGGCACCGGATCAGGTACCGGATCATCTGGATCAACAGCGGGCATCGAGTCAACTGGCCTAATAGGATCATCAGGCTGGATCGGTTCATCATGCTGGGTAGAGGCATCAGGCTGAGTGGAGGCATCAGGCTGAGTAGAGGCATCAGGCTGAGTAGAGGCATCAGGCTGAGTAGAGGCATCAGGCTGAGTAGAGGCATCAGGCTGAGTAGAGGCATCAGGCTGAGGAGAGGCATCAGGCTGAGGAGAGGCATCAGGCTGAGGAGAGGCATCAGGCTGAGGAGAGGCATCAGGCTGAGGAGAGGCATCAGGCTGAGGAGAGGCATCAGGCTGAGGAGAGGCATCAGGCTGAGGAGAGGCATCAGGCTGAGGAGAGGCATCAGGCTGAAGAGAGGCATCAGGCTGAAGAGAGGCATCAGGCTGGGTACAGACCTCAGGCTGAAGTGCGGGTGCCGAGGCACCAGGCTGAACCATGGAAGGCAGGTTCTCAGACGGCAAGCTCACCGGTTTGGATACTGGCAGGATGGTATTGGTTGGAAAGAATTTTCGCTTTTTTCTGGTTTTAACTACTGGAGCACTGTAAGTAAGTGCAGGTCTGCAAACGAATGGAGCAGCTGGAGACAGAGAAGAGCTGGAGGATGGAACAGAGGAGGGAACAGTTGCTACAGAGGGCTTTTTTACAGGGTTAAGGGCAGGATAGGTGCAGCGAGTGGGAACAGAGTACTGACATGCGGTAGATAGCAGGGCAGGAGGAGCTGTTGGGAATGCAGGAATAGAGCTTTGAGGAAATAGATTAGAAGCAGGACTGGGTTTTTGCAAGCTGACTGAGGCTGGGTGCAACAAATCTGTCCATGTCTGCAGTATGGGTTGAACAAAGCTGAGCTTACACAAAGCCTGTCTGACCAAAGACTGCACTGCGTTTATACAATCTCTTAGTATCTGTGGTGAACATGCAGCATAATGCTCCAAGAAGCAATCCACATCCACAGATATAAATACACAACCTCATCAAGATCCATCCTTCCCAGCAACAAGCCAAGATGGCTTCCCAGCCACTTCTGGTCAGGATTGGCCTTGGTGTAATGTCAGGGCTCCCGGGTATGACCAGAGGTGTGTGACTGACGCAGAGAAACGCAGACTTCAGATATGTTAGAAACAATATAATTTATTAACACCAACAATACAAACATAAACGCAGTGCAATACTAAAACATAACACAGTGCAAACAAACCAACCCAACCACCCACAGATGACAGTACATACAATGCAAGCGTCGTCAGGCAGGCCGGGTCAATATCAATCGGGCAGGTAGGTACAGGGGGAGCAAGCGGAGAATGGTCGGGGTCACAAGCCAGGTTCAGCAGGTAGCGGGCAGCGTGGTACAGAGGGTCAGGCAGAGGAGAATGGTCAGACAAGCCAGGGATCAGGAGCAGGAGAATGGTCAAACAAAGCCAGGGATCAGAGCAGGGTCAGCAATGAATCGAACAGGAGCAGGAACAGGATACAGGGCCCAGGAGAAACACACACCAAGGCAGAGTCTGCAGGTCTGGCCATCCCCTAAATACACCAGTATAATCAGTTCCAGGTGTTTGACTGGCTGCAAGGTTGAGTCTCTGATTGCTGGGAGCACCCGCTGGCCAGCCCTGGTACTGCAGCTCATAAGGCAGATGAGTCCCACCATTGCTGGCCAGTCCATTCCTGACACAGGGTACCGCGATGGGTGCTAGATTCTCTCCCAGTTATGCCAATCTCTTTATGGGCTACTGGGAAAACCACTATATTTGGACCAACAACCTCTTCAATGCAAACTTGATTCTATATGCAAGATATATAGATGATATTATAATCATCTGGGATGGCACTGACTCCCAGCTAGAAGGGTTTCTGGACCATTGTGGTAAAAATCCCCATGGTACCTCACGCACCCATGTTATTGACTACAAACTACTTTTCGTAGACCTTGAACTGAGACATGACAGTAGGGGTCAGATTTGTTCAAAAACGCACTTTAAACCCACAGCTGGAAACTCTTACTTACATGCAGAAACCAACCACCATCCACAGTGGATCAAAAATGTTCCATATGGCGAATTATGGAGGCTAACACCTTAAAACAGGACTATATAGAACAGAGTCTGACTCTTAGAACAAATTTAAAGAAAAGGGCTACAATGACAATCATATTGAAACAGCCTTCAATAAATACCTACTCTTGTGTGACCATCACCCAACAGACTCTGACAACTTGGCGACCTGCTCTAGTCTTAAGAGCCCCACTGTCACCAATAACCAAGTGGAGGTGCGTTTTTGTACTAGATTTAACAATAAATCCTGGGAGATCAAACATATTTTGTCCAAAAGTTGGAATATTCTTAAGAATGATCCTACTCTTAGAGATGTTTTCCCAGACAAGCCCACATTGATTTTCAGGAAACCCAAAGATCTCAGAAGCATGATAGCCCCTAGCAGGCTACACAAAACTACCCACCCATTCAGATCCACCCCGAGTCCTTGGTCAGGTCTGTTTGACCAAAAGGGTAACTACATACGTGATGTCCCCAATTGTGGCACCTGTGTGATCTCGTGGTACCGCAAGTGGGATATCATGTGCACTGATGGCAAATAATACCCTATTAAACAGTTCATCAACTGTGGCACGTTCTGCGTCATATATGGACTACGTTGCCCATGCGGCCTACTTTATGTAGGCCGTTCTTCCTGTCCCCTGAGAATTCGTATCAGTGAACACAAAAGCAGCATTAAAATTGGCAAAGACAAATACTCCGTCCCCCCCTCACTTCAAAGTAATCATTGTGGAATGAGAGTCTTTGCTGTCAAGGCAATCCCGAAAGATCTGGACAATGGGAGGAGACACAAAAAGTTATGTAGAAGAGAGAGCTATTGGATTTTTACATTGGGCACTCTATCCCCCAAAGGCCTGAATGATGATCTTGAAATACATACTCTAGTATAATCATTATATGTCTGCAGATGCGGATATCTGCCTTTTATACTTTTATTCTTGTATTGTTTTGGTATTATTTTTCCCATCTCACATTAACACCACTTCATGTTGAGTTCATTCCACTCAATTTTACAAGTATACACATATACTTTCTGGTTATAAAAATGTTAAAATGTTATATATTTTATATCCTTCTACTTATGGTACATTTCTTCTTATCGTATGTTTATAATCGATATACATCTTTACTCATGATCTATATAGACACATGTAAGCGGGGGGCTGTTTTGGAATGTGTCACCATAGTGCCCTATTCTAATTATGTATATCCATTTGTATTCCAGTTGTATTCCATTTTTATTCAAATCTAGATTTTCTAATACATATAATATCATTGTCACTATTACTATTATTTTTACTATTTTATTATTACCATTACCACAAAAATATATTTCCCATTAGTATAATGGGTAGTGAAGTGCCCCTGTCCCTTCATGTAAATTATAAAACATGTTGTGTACCCCTGGAAGTTGCTGTCATTTTTATTATCATCCATTTTTTATTGTCTTTATTGCTTTTATTGTCGTTTTATTGCTGTATATTGTTGGTCATAATTCTTTTGAGATTGATTGCCATGTCACTTTTATCCAAGTATTGCATTATTTACTGCATAGCCCTGCACGAATACTGCTGTTCCTATTGCCGTTATATAGACATTTCATCCTTTACACCACTGTGGCTATTGTATATTCCCCACTGGAGCGCACCGTTCTCATAAGTCTCAGTGGCTTATCTCCTATGTTCTTCCACCCCACCTTTTCACCCCCACTCCCTTGTCGGGTGGATGTCAAGTATGCAACCCCCTTCGTTGGAGGCACTGCGTGTTGTGACCATAGTCTTCGGCTGGAGCACATCCCGCAGCCGTTCTTCCAGCCCGGCGTGAGTGTGCGCTCCAGCAGGGGATTAGAGAAATGGCTGAGGTGCGCAGTCGGCGGGCCGGCGTTCCCACTGTGCATGCACTTTCACAGCCACGCACCCATTGGTGTGCGTTCCATTCACATTCACCAGCAGAAGCCATATTTAGCAATGGATGTACTTGATCTCTCTCTGCTGCTGGCCTGAAAATTCTAACCAAGACCAATCTGTGAATTTAAAGACAAAGACATGCTGAATGATCATTTTGACAGCCCAAACTAAGCAAGTACATTCTGGGAGGAATGTTAATGTGAATATTCACTTTCCATTAAGAGATACATCTCTTAAAAAAAAAGAAAAGTCATTTCAGGAGCTTTTTAATCAATATCAATTTTTATTATTATTATTTATTATTTATTTTTAATTAATTTTATTTTTTAATCACGCCTGCTTATTTATTACTAATACTATCTTGTCTTTGCTGCATGTAACAATACCAATGTGGCATACTGTGTATATATTATATTCGCTCTATTTGCTGTTTTACAGTTATGCGATTGTTAATTATCCTAATGATTTTAATGTTTGTTTTCACATCCAATTATATTTACTTCAATTATTTACTTCCATTGTTGGCATGTTTTGATGACACCTATGCCCCTCCCCCTGGCCAGAGACTTCCCAGCCCAGGTGGGAGGGTCTCATTTCAGTCCCAGAGTACATATGGTAGAGAGTACTCATTGTTTAGTTAGCTCTGATGAAAAAGGGACCCCCTTCGAAACGCGTCAACCTTACTTTGAGAGTCTGCCCTTGTGAGCTGATTCACACTGGTTGTACACTCCTAAAGTTCCGTTGAGGACCTATATGCTTGTTTTACTTCGTTGTTTGCGAGTATAATTCTCAATTGAATAAAATCACAGTTTACTAAGGTAATGCGCAAGGTCCATCTGTATACAAATGCAGTCTGCCTAGTATCTCCCACTCCTGCAGACTGACACCCACCCATAACGGCATTTTTTTTTTGCTAAACTCCTAAAAGCCCAGCAGACTGCTTGCATCAGTGTTGACAGCTCTTGAGAGGCTTACTGAGGTAGGGTGCTTTGCTGTTTTCAGAAAGCTATGTACAGCACCCTGACAGCCCCTCCCACCAGCCTTTGTCTTCCTGCACTGCAGAGAGAACCACAGAGACCCAGTGATGACATTACTGGGTGTAAAATAAGGTAGGTAGTACAAATGGAAAAAGTTCATTAAAAAATGTAGTCAACGTGTTAATAATGGAAGAAGGGAGGTGAATGAGTACCCCGATCAGTAACTAAACCTATGTGTGTCTACCCAAAGTTGAAATATCAGCTTTAGTTGCAGTCTACCTATTTGCTTACCAGCTAACTCCCTCATTAAAAACAAAAAATAGCAGTGTTTATGGGTCTATGTCAGTTTGTATCCTGTACTAAAGTATGTGATGTATTTTTCCATGCTCTATTTTTTGCTGTTCACTATGGGCTCACTTGGGAGACTTTATTAATTGTCCTCGAATGCTTTTTGCCACTACTAGGCAAAACCTCTTTCTCGTTTCTAGTTTCCTTCCTCTACTGTGCTCTGTCCTGTAACCTGGCATTGCACAGGTTCTTACAATACCCCGTTCAGTTCTCTTTTTCAGGCTGTAAGTTTAAAAGTGCAGAGGAACAAGGAGGGGACAGGACGGGTGGTGATGTGGAAGATGGGCATCCAGAACAGTTATACCCTAGAGGCCACTTTCTGTGGATCAACACTGGGTAAGAAAACTTGTCTGTTATAAAGCAAATACAACCTTTCAAGCAAACCAATCAAGAAAGAGCAGTTGCAGGAATGTTAATCATTCTTACAGTGG